GGTGACATGCTAAGGTAAGTGGAACTTGTCAGTTAAGCATCTTACGATATTTCTATACTGCATGCTCTCCAAACTGCATTTACTTTGGCTCCAATTTTAATTACACACACTCTCTATTCCACACATGAACACGGTCTCAAGATCTAACACAAATCAAGAGTTTTGAACCCAAAAGGGGTCAGCTCCATTTCTCTAACTCTCTGAGCTTATTTTCTAAAACAGGTTTTCCAGGTTAAATGCTCCCCGGAAACCTAAGGGACAGAATGAAGATGGGGAATTAAACGACTTGCAGTTACGTCTTGGCTTTATTACAGATTCAACCAGCTGCCTTTCAGACAGTCAAATTTAGAGACATTTGTTCCCTCAAATGTAAAATGGGAAGAACTGTTTGCTTTATTTCCAAGATAGTGTAAGAAGCACGCACTCTCACATATCTGAGGGAAGAACTGAATACTAAAGCAGACATTGGTACCCAGTGCCACCCTCCTCATGTCGTGATAAATCCTAAAAAGCCTGCCTCCTCTCCCTCCTCTCCCTGTCTGCTTTGGCCTCTGTCCCGCACTAATTCCTAATCAGATGCACCTTGGGTATGAATCAAACTAAAATGTGAAGAAAAGGTACCAGAAGAGCACCTAAAGTACTATTCCGTGCATGTGATAGTTTTATTTTGTTTCTGTTTGTTTTTGAATCCTCACCTGAGGATATTTTTCCATTGCTTTTCAGAGAGAGTGGAAGGGCGGGGGAGAGAGAGACAGACAGACAGACATCAATAGGTTGCCTCCTGCACGGGCCCCGACTGGGATCGAACCTGCAACCCTTCAGTCTGCGGGCCAATGCTCTAACCACTGAGCCAAACCGGCTAGGGCCATGGGATGGTTAATTTTATGCGTCAACTTGACTGGGCTACCCAGATATTTGGTCAAATGTTATTCTGGTTGTTTCTTTGAGGGTGTATTTGGATGAGCTTACTCAGTAGTCTGAGTAAAGCTGATTGCTCTCTGCAGTTTGGGTGGGTCTCATCCAATCAGCTGAAGGCCTAAAAAGAGTAAAACAGTTGACCCCGTGTTGTGTAAGCAAGAATCCTCCTGCCTGATGGCCTTTGGACTGAAGTATCAGCTTTTTCCAGCCTGCCAGCCTTGGGACTTTAACTGGGATATCAGGTCTGTAGCTTTTAGACTTGTCAGCCTCCATAATTGTATATGCCAATTCCTTATAGTAAATCCCTTTATATGTAAATATTCTCTTATTAGTCTCTTTCCCTGGAGTACCCTAATACAGAGCAATAGCATTATTATACTGAAGCTCTGCAGATAAAACTTGAGAGAATTCAGATTATGCTTGAAAGCCAAAAAGACGGTAGGTTTTTTCTAATAACAATGAAAGTCATATGTAGATATAGTTTCAAGTCTTCGGTATTTATGGCTGAATTAAAAATACATGTATAGTTCTTTAGAACACACATCATTTTCAAGTGGCTTCCTGCCTAATGCAACTTGTAGGTTTGGAGACTTGGCTTTAATAAACAAGTCACTCATACAGCTGAAGACTTCCTACACATAGTGAACCAAGAGGGATGGAGGGAAAACTTTGGGCAATCTGGCCAATGGATTTTATAGAACACCGTGGAGATTCTTACATCTTTCAACCATGGCCTTAGATCATGTCAAAAGCTGGCCACTGCCTGCAGAAGACAATAAGGAAAGCCTCATGTAAGATGTGACACTGTCCTGAGGACAGAAGAGTTAAATCTGGAAATAATGAGGAACCCAACATTCTTTAGCAACAGGTCGGGAAAGTGAAGTAGGGAAATCCCTTGAAGTAAATTTGGCTCACTAGTAGTAACAAAAGAGCAAACCCTCACTTACTGCTGGGGGGCCTCCCTTGACCTGTGGTCTCTCTTTCTCTGCTTGTTTGGTCACTTAGCTATTCTGTCCAGAGCAGAAAGCCATGACAGTCACAATCCCATAGCTCTATTCTCAGCCCTTCCTTGGGTCTTTTAGAACATTGTACAGGGAATGTTTTTCTTTTGGGCCATAGACCAGCTGAGTGGTTGGAGGGACATCTTGTCTCAAATACGGGAACTTCTCTAGGGAAGGGCTACAACAGTTCCATGTTTCAAACAATTTTACCTGAGAGGTGGCATCCAAATGATAGGATCTAATTATTTTTAGTATAATAATCATATTTTAAATCATGTAAATATCTTCTTCTTCCTTGTCCCTTTTGTTTATGGATAGGGACATAGAAGGAATTAGCTATGTTTCAATTTCTTCTTTAATTAGTTTCAGGCCTATAATTTTCACCAATTGGGAGAGAAAATCCAGGAGGGCTGGCAGGCCAGCTTCTAGCAATGCTTGAAAAGGCAGCTGTATCTTGAGTCAGCAAATGCGAAAAGAAAGAGTGTCCAAATTTTTTAAATGGTCACATTTCCAAGCAGTATTTGGAATGTTACATCAAGTATGGAATTGGAACTAGGCAACTCGTACTAGTAAATTAACAGATAAGCAGAAAAGCATTTATTTTCATTTTTTTAAAAAATTTATTGTTGGAAGTATTACAGATGCCCCCATTTCCCCCCATTGATCCCCTCTACCCGGCATCCACCCCCCGGCCCCCCAGGCCTTCTTCACACTATTGTCTGTGTCCATAGGTCTAGCATATATGCATCTAAGTTCTTTGAGTAATCTCTCCCCACCCCACTCCCCACCTAAAAAGGTATTTAAAAAATAAAGTCTCGCCTGGCCAGGCATGGCTCAGTGGTTGAGCACTGATCTAGGATCCAGGATATCAAGGTTCGATTCCCAGTCAGGGCACATGCCCGGGTTGCGGGCTCCATCCCCAGTTGGGGGCGTGCAGGAGGTGGCCGATCAATGACAACTTTCTCATCATTGATGTTTCTCTCTCTCTCTCCCTCTCCCTTCCTCTCTCTGAAATCAATAAAGACATATTAAAAAAGAAAGTCTCCACCTCCACAACACTCTTGAACCATCAACACAGACTAACACTTCAACAAACTCACACTAAAGGCCAGTAACTACCATGAATACAAGACTTATTTCCCATTTATTTATGACATTGCTGGGGTTCAAACCAGTGCATAAAATCGATATTCTTCTCATATAAAGGGATTTGTTAACCCGCTATTGTCTTCAGAATCACTGTAATAAAAACCCTACCTGAAAAGGTTAATACAGAAGAGAACTTCAAGGTCTCAAAAGGTTGTGCAAAAGTTATAATAATTGGTACTAAAAACAAACACAGACCAATAAACAAACTACTGAGGGCTTGGCCCTTCCTCTCTTTCTGATACTGGCCTCTGACCTCTGCTCAGGGCAGTGGTTTTATAGGCTGGTGTGCGTCAGGATCCCTTGAGCGAGCAGCAGCCCAGGACCGCTTCAACAGGAAGGCTGGTCTCAGCGTCTTTTCCAAGTTCTCCAGCAATGGCTTTCAGACCAGGCTGATCAGAATCACCTGGGAAGCTTTGAAAAATAAATTCCCAGACTTTACCCTTGGAAAATTTCAAAAAAAAATTTATCTTTATTGATTTCAGAGAGAGGGAGAGATAGAAACATCAATGAGAAGAGAGTCATCATTGATTGGCTGCCTCCTGCTCACCCCTGACCACGGATGGAGCCCACAACCTGGGCATGTGACTCAACCGGGAATCAGACCTCGATCTCCTGGATCCTAGGTTGATGTTCAATAGCTGAGCCACAGCCAGCCAGGCACCTGTAGAAATTTTGATTCAGTAGTTTGAGGTTGGGACCCAGAAATTTTTTTTTTTTTAATTTATCTTTATTGTTGAAAGTATTACAGGTGTCCCATATTT